TTAATTTGATATCTGAAACTCTCCATGAGGGCTGGGAAGGTGGCTCAGTGGTAGAGTGTTTGCCTTGGATGCATGAGGCCCTGGGTTCGATTCCTCAGCACCACATAAGCAGAAAAGGCTGAAAGTGGCGCTGTGGCTCAAGTGCAATAGCCTTGAGCTGAAGGATTGAGGGACAGCGCTCAGGCCCAGAGTTCAAGCCCCATGACTGAGAAAAAAAAAGTCCTTTTAGGGCTGGGAAGGTGGCTCAGTGGTAGAGCGCTTGCCTTGCATGCCTGAAGCCCTGGGTTCGATTCCTAGTACCACATAAGTAAAAAGAAAAAAGCCGGAAGTGGTGCTGTGGCTCAAGTGTTAGAGCACTAGCCTTGAGCTGAAGAACTGAGGGACAGCGCCCAGGCCAAGAGTTCAGGCCCCACAACTGGACCAAAAAACAAAACAAAAGAAAACTGAAACTCTTCATGAACCAACCCCAGCTAGCTACGGACCTCTCCTTCCATCCTGTCATGCAAACAACATTCCATTTTGTCACACTCATCACATTTATTCTTACTTCTACCTGCCTCACAGATTCTCACACTACTTGTAAAACGCCTATTCATCCTTCAAGACCTACCCACAAAAGCCCCCTTATGGGGTTGATATCCCTCTAGTCTTCCTGTCTCCCTCAGATTCAGTCCTTACCACACTGGCTTGAGAGTGTGGCCACCTTCTCTCTCAGACTGGGAATGTGAAGCTAAAGACTCCCCTTATAGAAGCCGAGCACCGGTGGCTCACGCCTGTAATCCTAGCTACTCAGGAGGCTGAGATCTGAGGATCTCAGTTCAAAGCCAACCTGGGCAGGAAAGTCTATGAAACTCTTATCACCAATAAACTACCAGAAAACCTGAAGTGGCGCCGTAGCTCAAGTGGTAGACCGCTAGCTTGAGCTGAAGAGCGCAGGGACAGTGCCCAAGCCCAGAGTTCAAGCCCCAAGACCGACAAAAAAAAAAACCCAAAAAACTCATATATCCCCATCCTTGCTTCCATCTCAGGCCTGGACCGAAATGGCGTACCTCCCTCTGCCAAAAGAAACCCCCTGCCCCTGGAGATCACATCTGGAATGAGCTCCCAGAGGCCTCCCATGGGCCCCCCATCTTCAGCTCTGGGGGCCAGCAGACGACCTCGGACACGACCACCCTCAGAGCTCAACACAGAGTTCCTCAATGTGCCTGACCAGGGCGTAGCTGGGTAGGTAGGGTGGGAGGGCTTCAAGTCCCAGGAAGTGGCCAGGGGCTAAGGGAATACTTGGGGCTGTGATAAACACCCCATCCTCATTCTTACAGCATGCAGAGGAAGCGCAGCGTGGGGCAGAGACCTGTGCCTGGTGTGGGTCGACCCAAGCCCCAGCCTCGAACCCATGGCCCAAGGTGTCGGGCACTGTACCAGTATATAGGCCAAGATGTGGATGAGCTGAGCTTCAATGTGAATGAAGTCATTGAGATCCTCATGGAAGGTTCGTACTGGGGCAGGGGCTGAGGGTGGAATGTAAGACCCATCACATGGCCAGGCAGCCGCCATTGCTGCCCACCTGTGTCTCCCGGCAAGAACAAAGTTAAGCAGCTTACAAACACACCCTTTTTTGTGCAGCATAGCTTGGTAGTCCTGGACACAGAGCTGTCATACAGGCTTTCTCCAGAGCACCCTCTCAGATTCTGTTCTCCTACAGATTCCTCCGGCTGGTGGAAAGGCAGGCTGCATGGCCAGGAGGGGCTCTTCCCAGGAAATTACGTCGAGAAGATCTGAACTCTGACTCTGGAATTATAGCCTCTCATTAGCCACCTGCCGAGTCCTGCTAGCAGGAGCCTCTGGCCAGAACAGCCAGATTACTGGTATAGGAGGTCACCACTGCGGCACCTCCAGCTGGACCTTGGCTTCCTGCATGTCATGCCTGCCATCCAAGTCTGGGTTTCTTCATGTGTCAAACAGAACTAACTGCAGAACCTACCTCCAAGCTAGCTGCCTTGTGTGTAGGAAATGTGTCATGTGCCATCTTGTAGAGGAAGTGGGGGGTCACAGCCCTGGGGAGGGACTCTTCCCCCTCCTCTGGTTACTCAGACAAGTAAACACATGCAAGGTGAAAGTGGGGGGTCAATTACTGAGCACCCACAATAAAGATGATGTTTTGTGTGTGTGTGCATGTGCTGGTACTAGGGCTTGAACTTAGGACCTGGGTACCGTGTCTTAGCTTTTTCACTCAAGACTAGTGTTCTACCAATTGAGCCACAGTTCCAGTTCCAGATTTTTGCTGATTAATTGGATGTAAGAGTCTCATAGACTTTCCTGCCCAGGCTGGCTTTAAACCATGATCCTCAGATCTCAGCCTCCTGAATAACTGGGATTATGGCTATGAGCCACCAGCACCTGGCTAAGATGATGTCGTCCTCGAGCTCTTTTGCTCAAGGCTAGCACTCTACCACTTTGAGGCACTTTGAGGCACTTTGAGCCACAGCTCTGCTTCCAGTTTTTGAATAGCTGGCTTTGAACTGCGATCCTTAGATCTCAGCCTCCTGAGTAGCTAGGACCACAGGCATGAGCTACCAGTGCCCAGCCAAGATAATACTGTTTCAATCCTGTGAAGGGAGAACTGAAACGCCCCCTGCCACTTTTTGTCTCAGTGTTTTGTTTTTCTGAGACAGGACCCCCACAATGTTGCCCAAGTTGGCCCTGACTATCTGGGCTCAGGTGATCCTTCTGATTCCCATGGCACCATTCCTAATGCTTCCATTTTACTGGTGGATAACCAGAGGCTCAGAGTGGTTCAGTCACTTACCTGAGACTCCACAGTCAAGCCCAGCATTCATATGGGTTGCTTTTACTCATATTTGAATTTGCCCCATTTCTATTCAGAAATCGCATCCCAAATGACATAAATGTTGTTGGCCTTGAATCTGAAGCCCCCCCCCCAAGCCCATCTGGGATCCGAGTGGACCCTGGGGAAGGAGGTAGACCCCAATGACTCCCCCAAAGCCACCATGGATCACCCCTGGCTCTTGTCCCCCACTCTGTTGGTGCCCTCTCAGCCTTTGATGGACTAGGGTCAGAATCATTTCTGACATTTGGGGATGTTCTACTAGAGTCTGCGCATTCTAGGGCTCTCTGCAAGGCCAATTTGAACCAATGGCCACTCTGGTCATGTCCTGTAGACCCAGCCCCTCAAAGAGCAGCTAGACTAGGAGAGACAGGGCCAGGACAAAAGGGGTGCAGAGAAGCTTGGTAAGCATTGGAGGGCTAAAGTGGAATGGTCCCAGTAGCTCTTGATGGCAGACACCTTGTAATGAAGGCACTCTTATCCCACTAAAGAATAAGGTGTGATGGATCCCAGAAAGACTATCCATCAGAAAGTTCCCAGGTACTAGCTAGGTCTCAGCACTTTTGATTATTGCTCAATCATTTTGAAAAATTGCCTAACGATCCCTGGAATGTCCCAGGACCTCTCCATTTTCCATTTCTGTCTCTCTCTGTGTGGGTGTGTATATGTGTATACTATGACTTGAGCTCAGAGCCTTCTGTTTGATCAGCCTTTTTTTCTCATGGCTGATCCTCTACCACACCTCCAGCTGGGCTTTTTGATGGTTGATTGGAAATCAACTCTCTCAGGGTTTTCTGCCCCACTAGCTTTGGATCATGATCTTCAGATCTCAGCCTCTTGAGTAGCTAGGATTGCCCTGATTGAACCACCAGTGCCTGGTGTCTTCGAGTTTCTTTACTCTGCTGAGCAACAACCACTGTGTTTCTCTCTGTGCAAGACCTGGAGGTGAGCAGAGGGTGGGGGAGGACTATGTGAGCCATCACGCTCATCAGCTGGACCTTTCCTGGGTACAGAAGAGAAAATAGGGGTGGGACTGGGGCTATAGTTCAGTAGTAGAATGCTTACCTAGGATGAGAGGCTCCGGGTCCACCCTCAACACTGGAAGAAGAAAAAGGAAGAGGGAGAAATGGAGGAATCAAACTTCCATTTCCTTTCTTTTCCATCACCATAAAGATTGCCTTCCCCTCTCAGCACTGTGGGCCTCAATGCCATGAGGGTACCCACTGGCAAGAAGTAAAACCTTCTAGGCAGGGTGGATGAATGGATGTTAGGCTGGGTACTGGGGATGGAGAGTGAATTTGGTGCATACTAACAGACAGCTGTATAAATGTAGGTTACAGGCAGCTTCAGATTGCAAACCTCCATCACCTTGGCCCCACTCAACCCTCAACCCCACATCCTGTGGACTCATTTTTAAAATCTAGCCCCTCCTCTCTCTTTTCCTTGGGGGCTCCGTTCCTTCTAAGCCTCACCCAATCTTTCCCTATCTTGCACCAGCCTTCACATACACACCCTTCCACCTGGTATGGAAATCATCTGTGTAGCCTGGGGTAGGATCACAAGTCTCTTATTCTGGCACTTGGGAAGCTGAGGCAGAAGCACACTGCATTTGAGCTTAGACCCTGTCTAAAACAAGAAAAACAATGTGTTGCTTTTTAAGAATATAGATAGAAATGCACTACACATAAATATAGTTTATATTTGTCCTTGGCCAGGCAAGGACATGGCTCAAAGCCTGTAATCATAGCTACTCAGGAGGCTGAGATCAGAGGATCTGCGGAGCTCAAGGCCAGCCCAGGCAGGAAAGTCCGTGAGACGCTTTATCTCCAATTAACCACCAAAAAGCCGGAAGTAAACTGTGGTTCAATGGTAGAGCGCCAGCCTTGATAAAGCTCAGGAACAGCGTCCACGGAAATCTAACCAAAGAGATGATAAAAAGAAAAATGGCAAGGGCTGGTGATGGGGAGCCGAGAGGGAGGGGATGAAGGAGGTTCTGCAGGTGAGGACCTTGGGGCAGGAAATTGCTCAAGCCCCACGCTAAGCAAAGGTGCCTAGCTCGCAAATCCAAACCCTAGTCTAGGTGCACGGCGGCCTCTTGCCACGCCCCCTGGCCGAGAGCCCAGCGCAAGCCCCGCCCCTGCTCTCGCGAGAGCTGGGGGACAAAAAAAATGGCGCCGACGTGATCCCGAACGCGAGCTGCCGCCTCGTTGAAGAAATCGCCGTCGTCTGAGCCAGAACCCCCGGAACCTCGGAAGCAAGAAGGCTAGCTGAGTGGAAGATGGTGAGCGCGGTGCTCGGGACGCGGGCGCGGCGGAGCAGTGGGGATCGGCAGGGATCGGCCCTATCCCGCACACACCCTCCGACCGACCCCGCCCCCACATCCGGGCACCCGCCCGCTTTGGGTTGTCATTAAGCGAGAGTCCTGCGCCTACTTCCGGGCCTCGCCTGGGCGTGGGTCACGCCCACCAGGCTTGACGTTCCGCCCCTAAACCTCACACATCCGGGTCCTCCTCACCTACACGTTCATTGAACAGAGCTCATGCCCGGCCAATCTGCCCCGCCTCCACAGTCTCGGCCCCGCCCACTGCCTCTAAGACACGCCCCTTCTCTGTGTGGCGCCTCCTCCGGCCCGGATTGGCGTGGAGGCGACGCTTCTCACGTTTAATCTCGCACCGAGGACTGCTTTTGCATTTGGGATTTAGGAGGCCGGGCCTGGATCCACCCTAACTCTCCCTTTCCCCCTCCTGCTGGTGACTCCTTAGAATGCGGGATGATGGGTGATGCTTGCCTGGGGGAATTCAGGAACGTTGAGGCGGGTGGACCTTTGGGGTGGGCGATGTTCTATGATTGGCCCAAGCAAACCCTGAATCCACACTGCTTCTCTCCGCCACTACTACTACCAGGAGAAGGAACAGTCCGGGCCCAGCCCGGACATGCTGGCCACTGCAGAGCCCAGCTCCGGTGAAACCAACAAGGAGGTATTGCCCTTGGATGTGGCTGCCGGAGACTCCTCTTCAATGGAGGAGGAGCCAGGCCCGGACCCGGCAGCCACACTCCCAGTGTGGGACTGTGGACTGCAGGCTGCCTCCCCAGTCCCTGGCCCCGGCTCCGTAACCAGTGAGGACCTGCGGCCTCCCAGACGACGCCCTCCAGCAGGTGATCTGTGACGGGGTAAACCGGGTAATTAATCACAGGTCTTGAAACAATATCAGTGAGGAGTGTAGACTATCTCCATCTGAGGAATGTCTCAACACGTACTGAGCCGCCAAGTGTATGCCAGGGTTGGCTCCAGTAATGAGTGGGGCTAATCAGGCCCCTCCTTCTGGTTGTTCAGTCTGGGGGATGTGGTTCGGGACGTGTCAATAAGGGAAGGATTAGTGACACACACCCTTACCCTCCCCCCCCCCATATGTCCTGCAGGAAAACAAATACCCTGTTCTAGCCCTGGCTGCTGCCTCAGTTTCCCCAGCGTTCGCGAACTGGCACAGCATCTCCGGACCCATTGCCCACCTACACAGTCACTGGAAGGTAGGGTCAGGGTAGGTGGTGGGAGGCAGGTGGAGCCTCTTAGGGCCAGCCCTGACCACTACACTCTTAAAACTCTGTCTCTGCCCCTACCAGGCAAGCTCTTCCACTGCTCAGCCATGAGTTGCTCAGAGATCTTCCCCAGCATGCAGGAGCTGGTGGCCCATGGCAAACTGCATTACAAGCCCAATCGCTACTTCAAGTGAGACCCTGAGCACCCCAACTGCACAATCCAGATCTTCACCCCTTTGTCTGGCTGTGGGGAGGCCCTGCCCTATCATAAACAAAAATGTGAACTGGGTGGGGACACAAATGGGTCAGGGCATTCGTGACTGATCATCCAGCTCCTCTTCACCTCTCAAGTAGAAAACCTGACCCCTAAAGATGAAAGCTTCCGGCCTGGCACCAGTGGCTCCCCCCCCCCCACCTCTATATCCCAGCTACTCAGGAGGCTGAGATCTGAGGATCTCAGTTTGAAGCGAGCCGGGACAGTAAAGTCAAAGAGACTTATCTCCAGTTAACAACCAAAAAGCCGGAAGTGGTGATGTGCTTAGAGGGCTAGCCTGGAGCAAAAAAAAAAGCTAAGGGATAGCGCCCAGGCCCGGACTTCATGTGTAAACACCAGTAGGAAAATAATTGAGGCTTCCTTAAGCGTTTTCCCAGCGCTGTGAACTGGAGATGGGTGGAAGGGTCAAAACAACATTGGAGGTGGGGGGGGGACTCAGGGTAAGCTTCCCTCCTCCCCAGGACAGGTCCCCAGATAGTGGTGGTCAGGCCCTTCCCCCTCGCCTTGTGCCGCCCCCAGGTGTGAGAACTGCCTCCTGCGCTTCCGCACACACCGCTCGCTGTTCAAGCACCTGCACGTGTGCGCGGAGCATGCGCAGAGCCCCGCCCCGCCGCCGCCACCCTCGGCGCTGGACAAGGAGCCACCTGCGTCGGATCGAGCCTCAGAGTCCGATCCCGCGTCCGCGCCGGGCCTGCCCTTCCCGCTGCTCGAACCCTTCACGACCCCGGCCTCCACCGGGCCATTCCTACCCTACTTGAACCCCGCGCCCTTTGGCGTGAGTCCGCCCCGCCTGCGCCCCTTCCTGGCAGCCGCCCCCGGACCGCCAGCCTCCAGCGCCGCCGTCTGGAAAAAGAGCCAAGGTGAGTGCGGGGCGGGGGAGGAGGGCTGCCCGGAGGGAGGGCAGGCCTGGCTCCCTCAACCCCAACTTTGACCCGCCCCTCGCTGCAGGTGCTGGCGGCAGCCCCCGGAGACCCCAGGGCGGCCCCGACGCGCCCTCAGGTGCGTGCAGGTGACCACCAGGGAGGGCGGATGGGGCTTACTGGGTTTTTTGTTTTTGCTTTTTTCTCCTGCGCCCTGCGGGGCCCTTTGGAAACGGGCAGGCCGCGGCGCCCGCCCCCCTCCCTTCCAGGTGAACGGAAATGTCACCCTTTAAAAATACACGATTTTGCCTTTAAAATCACTGGCAGCTACACCTTCATCTGCGCCGGCGTTCCTGCGTAAAAGTTGCGCCCCGTTCACCTCGGCGCGGTCCTTCCCCCCTCCCTTCGTGGAGTCCCGGGCAGGGAAGGGGGGGGACTCGGATCTGCCAGGCCTAGTGTCCTTCCCGATCGGGACATTGGCCCCGCTCGGCCCCGGAGCTGGTGGGACGGCGCAGGGAGGGTCTGATCATCCCTGGGGGACAGGTCCTCGCGGGGCGAGGTCCGTGGCTGACCGGGGGGTCCTGCCTGCCTGCCCACCCGCAGGGAGCGCGGCCCCGAGCCGCATCGTGTGGGAGCACACGCGCGGCCGCTACTCCTGCATGCAGTGCGCCTTCTCCACGGCCTCGCGGCCTGCCATGACCCTGCACCTGCGGGACCACCGCCCCGGCGCCCTGGCTGCCCCGGGGCCACAGCGCCCCCACGCCCCGGAGGGTAAGGCCGAGGAATGCGGGGAGCCAGGAGCGGGGGGCGGGGCCGAGGCTCCGGCAACCCCTCCTCTGCCCCACCCAGACCCGACCCCCGCTTGCACCTAAAGTGTCACGGATGCTGTGGGGGGTGGGGGGTGAGGGTCCCACAGCTTTGAAACGCCGCCCCGCTGTGCGGGGGTGGGTGGCAGGGTGTGGGAATTTTTGTAACTTGAGGGGTGGGGACAATAAAGAGGCGCCATGAGCCAGCCTGTGCCGTGTGTGGGTCCCTTGCCCCTGACGCGCAGTGGACAGGCGCTTTGTGAAATTGGGGCACTCACGACATGGAAGCTGCACCTCCAGGTGGCTCCAACTGGGTACAGGACCCGTGCCCCACACCCTCCACCCGATCGCCTCAACCCAGGGACCCAGGTCCTCAGCTCCATGCCCACTACCCTGACCCACCAAGTACAGAAACCAGACGCTATGGAATCTCCCAGGATTTTATTTATTTTTTGGGGGGGTCCGGTCGTGGGGCCTGAACTCTGGGCCTGGGCACTGTCCCTCAGCTCTTCAGCTCAAGGCTAGCGCTCTACCACTTGAGCCACAGCGCCACTTCCGGCTTTTTTCTTTTTGCTTATGTGGTGCTGAGGAATCGAACCCAGGGCCTTGAGCATGCAAGGCAAGCTCTCTACCACTGAGCCACCTTCCCAGCTCTTTATTTATTTTAAAAGTCTCAGAGGTTGGACACTTGCTGGCTCACTCCTGTCATCCTGGTTACTCAGGAGGCTGAGACCTGAGGATTGAAGTGTGACGCCACCCTGGACAGGAAAGCCTGTGAGACTCTTACCTCCAGTTAAGCACCAAATCCAGAAGTAGAACTATGGCCACAAGTAGTAAAGTGCCAGCCTTGAGTGAAAAAGCCAAGGGACAGCACCCAGGCCCTGAGTTCAAGTCCCAGGACTAGCACAAATGCTCATGTACACACGTAGGTATATATGTATCAGGGAGCCAGAAGTAGAGGAAGGGCCTTGGGCAGTATCTGCTCAGTGATTCCCCTGCTAGCAGTGACTCCCCCCTCTGGCTGCCTAGGACCCTCTCAAGAACGGAGTGGGGGAAGGGGTGACAAGGGGCCCATTGTACAGATGGAGGTGAGGCGAGGGGTGCCAGCCAGTTGCCCACAGAGAAAATCCTGGCCCAGCACACCTGGAGATAGAGCTTGTGTCCAGTCCCCTACTTCATCCCTGGGTACAGGATCGCCCCGGTCCAGCTCTAGGGCACCAGTGGCCCCTGGGAACTCCTCTTGCCCATAAATTTCCTCAGCTGGCCACCCCACCCCCAGATCGGGACTATGCTGCGCCCCAGCCTGCTCACGGAGGCTCCCCTCCCGTCAATTACCCACCGAGAGAACCAGGGATCCAGGCGGCCTGCGCAGCTCCCGCCGCACCCTGACTACTAAAGGCCACAGCAGTCCACCTTTCGCTCCCCTGGGCAGCCTTATGGTCTCTCCTGGCCAAACTGGGACTCCCCCAGTGTCCTGTGCCCCCTAACTGCGGAGCAGCAGTAAACTGAGTCGGCCCACTGCCGTGGTCGTCCCAAAGGGGGCGCCCGGGAGCGCGGCCTAGGGTGGGAAAGGAATGAGCCGGGCAGTACCTGGCTGAGCGGCCGCCAGGTGCCCGGAGTTCGGTTACCCCCGAGGCGGCGGGCAGAGGAGTTTGGCGCGCCCCCACCCCTGCGTCGGGCTCCTATCCAGGCTGGCGTCCTGAAGATTCCCCGTCCCCTCCAGGCGGTCCCTGGCCCGCCCTCCAGTCGGTTTTGCGCTGTTGCCTCCTGATCAGTTGAGTCGCGGGCCCCAGCCAGGAAGCCGCCGCCAAAGCCCCAGATGCTCCGCGGGGAGGCGCTGCGCGCCCGAGAGGCCGGGCCTGCACCGCTGGGCTACGCTGGCCCGTCCCCCACCAAGTTCCAAGGAGTTGGAGGCTGGGGAGAGCCACACCCCCAACCCCCCCCCAGCTGCCATTCAGCCCTTTACCTTGCTTTGGTTTCACATGTTACGGATGATCCTGGACAATCCTTGTTCTTTTTTTTTTTTGTCGGTCGTGGGCCTGAACTCGGGGCCTGGGCACTGTCCGTCAGCTCTTCAGCTCAAGGCAAGCACTCTACTACTTGTGCCACAGCGCCACTTCCGGTTTTCTGGTGTTTTATTAGAGATAAGTCTCACAGACTTTCCTGCCCGGGCTGGCTTCAAACCCTGATCCTCAGAACTCAGCCTACTGAGTAGCTAGAATTAGAGGCCCGAGCCACTGGCACCGAGCTCTATGCTCTTATAAAACTGTAAAAACAAAGTTCAAGCTTTCTCCTTCCTTCTGGCCTAGGCAGGATCCTTCTCATGGGATTTGTTCCCAAGGGCCTTTTGTGGGGTTTTTTTGTTGTTTTGTTTTCCTGCTCTAAATGAGGTCCCCATACCACCTGGGAGCTGACTCACCACCTGAGCCAGAAGCTCTTCTTTCCCAAGATCTCAGGGTGACTCCAGGGACACTAGCACCTCACAACTCAGCTGTACATTGAAGTCACCTGGCCAGGGGCTAAAATGCACCCCCACCCCTACTTTTGCTCAAGCCACACTGAGAACCGGGGTTCCACAGTCCCCTCTGCTATGACTGAGCCTTGCAGTCAGGATTCGCCCGCTTTTCCATTGGGTCTCACTGCCTTCATCCGCTCTTCCCACGCTTCCCAGAGCACAGCTCAACTGGTTTCCTGCTCTCCTGTCCTGGCGTTTCTCCTCTTTCCATTTCCCTTCAGTGGAAATTTGGGGTGTCCTCACACCCACCCCCTTCCTGTTTGGGATCAAGGTCATTGACCTTGTCATTGACCCCCAAATCTGCCAACCTAGCTGAGCCCTCTGTCCTAGGCACCAGCCCTGGCCTGACATTTGTCCCTAACCAGGAAGTCTTGCTAAAAGGGAGGGGTGTTGAAATAAGGCAGATGTAGCAACACGGGCAGACAGATGTGGCCTTATCATCCCTTCAACCCCCATAACCTGGGTTTCTCCACTTTCCCAGAGGTCAGGACATGAAGGTGGATGAGTGTAGGGGACAGGAAAGAGTCAAGGCACTAGTGACTGGGGTAAATTACCAACTGCCAAAGGCACTAGTGCTCAGAGAGTAGCAGGCAGGACAGGGACTCTATGGGGGGTGAGGAGGAACAGCAGTGCCCCCTCAGGATCTGGGGACCCACTGGGGCTGTCTCCGCCTCCTTTCCTTCCTCCTTTGCTTTCCCCACCCTGGCAGCAGCCCCCACCTTGTGCGCTGGGCTGGAGAGCCAAAACCACAGTTAACTAACTTCCTGGACACAACCAGCGCAGCTTGTAGCAGCAGCACATCACCTACCTGCAGCCATGGTGAGTCTCCAGGAACAGGGAATATAGGAGAGGCCTACAATGGCCGGGAAGCAAAGGGAACAGGTGGGAACTGGAGGGTATCCCGAGGTTGTGGGATGGGTAAGCCGTTGAGGGAACCAGGAGGAACCCAGGCCAAGGTGGAAAGGTAGGAAGCAACTGGGACACAACCCGGGCTCCTGCAACCTAAGCCCGGTCTGACCTTAAGGGCCCAGGCGGATCTCCCTTGGTTAACGTGGATGGTAGCCTGGGAAAGGAGGCAGGGGTCAGAGCAGAAGCTTCCTGTTTGAAGGTGACTAAGTGGGTCATGTACTAGCTGCTGCTCCCTTTCTCCCCAAGCCAGTCACCAAATCGTGACCTGTTAATCTGACTTATGTAGTCCTATGGTCACCCAGGAGCCTTTGCTTTAACTCACTGAGGCTGAGGGATTTAGAGCAGCACTTCAAGCCCTCTCCCACAGGCCTGCCTGATCCCCTGAATCTCTGGATGGGGAAACTGAGGCAAGGACTGCATATAGATCTGCCCTCCTACTCCTTCCTCTCCTTGGTCCCAGGTAACGAGAGGGCCCAGGTTCCAGGGCTCAGGAACAGAGCATCCTCAGAGGCTGGGCTTTCTTGGGCATCTGTGTCTGTAACCCATAGTACCTGGCCAACTGAAGTTGAAAGGGAATACCCTAAATCCTTAAATAGTGTGCGGAAGCCAGGGGGCTGCCCACTGTGAACCTCTCCTATGAACAATGTGGGTGTCAGTGACTGATATGTGCATTCTGTCTTTATGGAATACTGAGTGAATACCTACTATATGCCAGGCACTGGATGACAGCTAAAAGGAGCCAAGTCTCTTCTGCAGGAGGCTAGAGGAACTAGGGTTGCATGCGCGGATGGAGACTAAATTATTGTGTGGGGGTGTGGGCGTGTGTGTGCGCGCACACACACATACACACACATACACATGCACACGTATTGCCATTAGAACTGGAACTCAAGTTGGTTTGTACTCTTGCTTGGCTTTTTCTGCTCTAAGGCTGATGGCTCTACCACTCCAGCTACAACTCCAGTTCTGGCTTTTTGCTGGTTCATTGGTGACAAGAGTCTCATGGACTTTCCTGCCTGGGCTGGCTTTGAACTACAGTCCTTTGATCTCAGCCTCCTGGGTAGCTGTGCTCAGCACTACCCAGTCAAGTGGTGATGAATGACTGTAATCTCAGCATGGGCCTATTTCCCTGTCTCAAACAAAAACCCCAGGCAATGAAATGCAACGTGTAGCTTAGGGGCAAAGCACTTGCTTAATGTGAATGAATTACTGGGGGTTTCATCCCCAGCATAGCATAGCAAAAAAAAAAAAAATCAACCTCATCAAACTGGGCACAGATGGCTCATGCTACTCAAGAGGCTGAGATCTGAGGACCAAGGTTCAAAGCCAGCCTCGGCAGGAAAGTCTATGAGACTCTTATCTCTTTCCAGTTAACCAAAAAAGTCTGTTGGCTCAAGTAGTAGAATGCCAGCCTTGAGTAGAAAAAGCTCAAGGAGAGCATTTAGGCCCTGAGTTGAATCCTCAAGACCAGCATGCAGAAGCGCACGTGTGCACACGCACATAGACACAGAGACAGAAAAATAAAACCTATTCAAGACATACAGAAAACCAATACATGTAAAGTTTGATACATGGTGTCATATACGCACAGCTGGGTCACTCAGGGATCTTGTCTTTTCTTGGCTAGGTGAGGACTTCCTCTAATTCCTGTGGGGGGAAGGGGGAGGGGACTGAGCAAGCCTGGGGTGGGGGCAGCAGCCTCAGAGAAGCCAGTTACTATAATCTGGGAGGCGGGGTTGGTTCCTCCAGCTGGGGTGATGGTGGAGAGAGTGGGAAGTGGTTGATTCCGGACGCATTTTGAAATTAGAACAGAAAGGACTTCGGGGAACATTAAGACCAACTGGGAGGAAGACCAACTGTGGGGAGACAGCTGGGAGAGAAGTCCTGGTGGGGGTGACAGCTAAAGTGGGTCAGTGGGCCCAGAGCTGAGGTCAAGGATGAGCCATGGCAAGCCTGACCCCAGGAGCCTGATGGAGAGGTTGAGGGTGATGGTTTACGGCCATCACCTCTGTGGGTACCGTGCTGTCTCTTGCCTTCCCCACCCTTCTGTGTGAACGAGCTTGATACCCCATGTCCCCCAGGGGAGCCATCAGGATTTTCGGAGCCTCCAAGCCAAGTTCCAGGTCTCTCAGTCACAGCCCAGTGACCTCCCCCCAAAACCCCCAAAGCCTGAATTCAACAAACTCCAGAAGAAGTTTCTGTCCCCGGAGTTCCCAGAGTTCCCCAAGAAGCCCTGCAAACTTGAGGTCAGTGGAGTCTCCAAGAAGTCGCTGCAGCCCGAGGCCAGGGAGACCAAGCAACCCTCGCAGCCAGAGCCTCCTGCGCTTGACCAAAAGCCCCCCCAGCCTCAGCTCAACCATCCTGCCAAACCCCCCTCAGAACCCAGGCCTGGTGTACTCCCCAAGAAGTTTCAGCACCCTGGGGCCAGCCAGAGGCCCTCACCAGCTGAGTCCAGTACCTTCCCCAAGAAGCCGCCTCAGCCCCAGTCTGGAGGCCTCATCAGAAAGTCATTGCCACAGCCTGAGTTCAGTCAGGGGTCCCCACTGTCCCCCTTAAAGCCAGGGCCCTGTGAACCCTACCCCAACTCCCCACAGTCTGACTTTAGCACCTCTCCCAGGAAGTCTCCACAGCCCCAGGCCAGCGGGCCCCCTAAGAAGTTCCTGCTGCAGTCCGAGTCCAGCGAGGTCCCTCTGACACCCCCCTGGAAGCCTGAGACCAGTGACTCCCAATCCCATGCCCCCCAACAGGGAGGCTTCAGTATGTTTCCCAAGAAGCCACCCCAGCCCCAGCCAAGTGACCTCCCCAGGAAGCCCCCCCACCAGCCTGAGTTTGGTGACCTGGCCAGGACCTCCTCAGAGCCCCAAGTCAGTGTGATCCCCAAGAGGTCACAGCAGCTGGAGCTCAAGGTGCTTCCCAAGAAGCTCCCACAGGCTGGGGGGAGTGGTCTCCCCAGGACCTCCTCGGAGCCTGAATTCAGCTCGCTCCCTAGGAAGTTTCCACATCCTGAGCACCAGGGGTCACCTCGCAAGTTCTCACAGCCTGAGCCCAATGCTGGGGTTAAGAAGCCCCCCACACAGTCAGAGCCCTTTAAGGGTTTTCCTCGAAAGCCACCACTCCCCGGCTGGGTTTCTGAAAGCTCGCTGCCTGCTGCCATGGCCGGCTCCAGCCCTGGGTCTGGTCTGGCTGGAACCCCCCACTGGAGGTCAGAGGACCTCCGAGCCCAACACCTACCCCGGAGAAGGCCTCTGCCACCTGCCAGCAGCCTGGGATCCCCTCCAGTCAAGCCCCCACTGCCCCCAGGCCCCCTCAATATCCAGAGTTTTCGGAGACTGTCAGCAGCGGGCACAGGTGGGTCAGGGTGGTAGCTCGGGTGGGAGAGGGGCTGGGGCTCCGGGGCAGGGCCGCCATCCTCCCAGTCTCTTTCCCCCCACAGCTGGAAGGACAACCCGCTCTTCGGTTGGAACCCAAGCCCAACAGCCAAAGAACACCCCACAGTGAGTGCAGAGAGGAAGGGAGCCCAGGCCCGGGGTAGTCCTGAAAGGGGCACCCTTCATCTCTGGTATCTTTGCAGGGACCCTGATGAGATCTACGAGTTATATGACAATGTGGAATCCACCGATGACCCAGGCCCCAGGGGCAGAGGTTTGTTGGCGGGCCAGGTGCCCAGGCAGCTAAGGCAAGGAAGGGAAGGATTCCTTACAAGGATACTGTCTACCCCACATCTGTTGGCAATGATCCAAGGCACACTGGCTGCTGCTGGCCTGGCCTGTGACAAAGGGGAAACCCAGAGGCCACCAGCTAATAAGAACACTTTTTAGTGGTTAATTGGAGATAAGAGTCACATGGACTTTCCTGCCCTGGGCTGGCTTTGAACTGTGATCCTCAGAACTCAGCCTCCTGGGTAGCTAGGATGACAGGTATGAGCCACTGGCACCAGGGAATGTGAGGTGTTGAGCCACCCTGTGATTGGGGATAAGATGCCAGCCAAGAACACAGGCCTGGACTCAGGGCATAGCAGTGGAGGGTAGACAGAACTATCCCCAGGATTCCAAAAGACCCTTTCCTTCCAAGTCTCTGCCACTAGAAGTCACAGGGTGGGCTGGGCAGACCAGCATCTCCATGGCAACAGCGAGGAGCTTCATTGCTGCTGCAGCCCCCAACCTCACCCTAGTCAAGGCAGTGTCACCCTCATGTCACTGATGCACAAGTTCTGGGATCCGAGACTTGCCTAGCTCACAGCTGGTCCAGAGCTTCAGGGGGTAGGGTGGGGTAGTGGGAAGGGCCCCCAACTTCTCCCAGCCCATGCCTGGTACATAACAGGCCACCTCCAGATCCTCCAGCTCCACCTCCTTCCTGGGCCCCTTCACTTCTGGGCGATCCCCAGGAGCTGCTTACAACATCCTTAGCACAGCTTCCTGGTGGGGTCCCTCCTACTTCCACTGAGGGAGACTGTGGCTTGGGTCTGGGGTCGCTTTTAGGGGGTGTGGGAAGAAAGTCCAGCACCCTGGCCTCTATTCCAGCAGCCTTCAGGCCCCGCTCATACTTCAGAGGCCCAGGGCCTCCCTTCCTGTAACAGATGACTGCTTCAGTGACAGCCCATTGTTCTCCCTGCTCAGGAGGTTGGGGCTTCCTGGAAGGCAGAGAATGCTCACTCAAAGCCTGCACTGACTTTTAATTAAAAAAAAAAATTTTTTGGGGGGGGGGTCCGGTTGTGGGGCCTGAACTCTGGGCCTGGGCGCTGTCCCTGAGCTCTTCAGCTCAAGGCTAACGCTTGAGCCATAGCGCCACTTCCCGGCTTTTTTCATTTTTGCTTATGTGGTGCTGAGGGATCAAACCCAGGGCCTCAGGCATGCAAGGCAAGCGCTCTACCACTGAGCCATCTTCCCAGCCCCTGACTTTTAATTAAATTTATTTTACTGCTGGGTGCCAAGAGCTCACATCTGTAATCCTAGCTACTCAGGAGGCTGAGATATAAGGATTGAAGTTCAAAGCCAGCATGGTCAGAAAAATCTGAGACTCTTATCTCTAATTAAGCACCAAGAAAGCCAGAAGTGGAGCTGTGACAAGGGGTAGTGTGCTAGCCTTGAGTAAGAAAAGCTCAGAGACAGAGAATGCCCAGGTTCTGTGTTCAAGCCCCAAGATCAACACCAAAACAAAAAACTTTTTGAGCTACTTGGGACTTGAACCCAGAGCCTGCTACTATTACCACTTGAGTCACAAGCATAGCTATTCTGTATTTTTGAAACAGGTTCTCACTAACTGCATGGGCTACCCTCAGACTTCCTACCTGCCTCACTCACTAGCTGGGACTCCGGGTACTACTCCTGGCTTGCTTTGGCTTTTTCAAAATGATCCTCTCACTGGAAGATTGGGAGGGGGGAGGGGAAGCAGTCAGATGGACCAGGGCTCCCAGCTCTTCCCACAGTTCTCAGAACAGTAGGGACTCCTCAGAAGGGCCCAACCCCTTCCCAGGATATGAGCAGGCCTGGGGAAAGGCAGCAGTGAGTGGCCTACTCAGGGTACCATGGTCCTTTGCAAGCTCCTGGGTGGAGCCTACTTACTGCCAGGCAGCCTTTGAAAAAGTAGCAGAGGTGCCTGGATGGTCTGTCGGTGGGCCCAAGGTCAGCAGTGGTAGAATGGGGTAGGTCTGATGTAAATGTCCCTGGACAGTATCACTCTGGCAAGGCTATAATGTTGGTAAAAGCAGCCCTCAGCTTCAGGCCCTCACTCCCCTGGGGTTCCAGAGGCATCTGCTGGCAGCCAGACCCTTGGCCACCAGGGCCTACATGCCCAGAAGCCTGATTCCATTGCCAGGAAGTGGTATGGACTTTGTACCTTTGCTCTAGGAAACCCTGTCCAGTCTGTCAGTAGGGGCAGGCTAAGACCCCACTACAGCTTTTTAAAAATGGGCTATGGGGGGCTGGGAAGGTGGCTCAGTGGTAAAGCGCTTGCCTTGCATGCTTGAGGCCCTGGGCTCGATTCCTCAGCACCCATAAGCAAAAAAAAAAAAAAAAAAGCCGGAAGTGGCACTGTGGCTCAAGTGGTAGAGCGCTAGCCTTGAGCTGAAGAGCTGAGGGGCAGTACCTATGTTCAGAGTTCAGGCCCACGACTGGACCCCCCCCCAAAAAAAAGATGGGCTATGCCTGCCTTTAGTGGTGCTGGGGTTTGAACTCAGGGCTTATAATGGCTAGACAGACACTCTTACTTTTTCCTGGTTGTAAAGATAGGATCTCACTTCCTGCAACAGAAATTCGCCTATGCCAGGCTCCCTATTGTAGCTAGGATAACAAGTACAGGCCACCACATCCAGGTCTTGGCTGAGTTTTGTGCAAGTTTTCTACCCAGGCTGGACCTGAATCCCAATCTCCAAATCTCAGTCTCCCAAGGAGCTAATATGACAGATGAGAGCTTTCTTTTATTTTGGTGCCAGTTCTGGGCTTGAACTTAGGGCCCAGGCACTGTCCCTAAGTTTTTTCACTCAAGGATAGTGCTCTACTACTTGAGTTCTACTATCTGACTTTTTGGTGGCTAATTGGAGAGAAGTTTCCAACTGGAGTTAAAGAGTCTACTGGCTTCAAACCATGATCCTCAAATCTCAGCCTCCTGAGTAGCTAGAATTACAAGTGTAAGCCACTGGCTTCCTTCATTTTTTGACCCCAATCTCATTACAATTCCCAGCCCACTCCAGGAGACAGAAGCAAAACAGCCTACCTACAAAGCAATCTTACTAGGTGACCCTATAAACTGCTTGACTTCTCTTAGCCTTTGTTTGTGCAGTAGCAAACTACAAATGTCAATATCACCTACTGGCACCAATAGGATGGCTGTGAGGGTCAGATGGGTTAGCATGTAGAGCCATTCCCTCATGTCTGATCGATGTCAGTCAACCCACTAGAACCAGGGAGCCCTGAAGAGGCCAAGGAAAGGACCAGATAGGGGCTGGGAAGGTGGCCTTAGGTTCGATTCCTCAGCACCACATAAACAGAAAAAGCCAGAAGTGGTATTCTGGCTCTAGTGGTAGAGTGACAGCCTTGAGCTGAAGAGCTGAGGAACAGCGCCCAGGCCCAGAGTTCAGGACCGACCAAAAAATAAAAAAGGATCAGACACAGAGCAGCCTCACTCCAGATCTACCACTAGGATAGAGAGGTGCTGATGGGGGGCGGGGGAGGAGAGGGGGAGGAGGCGCACAAGGATCTTTATTCTGACTCGGTATTGACTGTCACCAGATAAAGTGGTATCTACCCACCCAGCAACCAAGAGGCCACTGCAAGAACCAGAGCTCAGGTACTCATGATACACGGAGTGGGGTGGGGCTGAGCTCTCCGACTCTGAGGGGAACACTTCTTGCTAATGATCACCCCATTTGGGGGGTGGGGGAAACATCAGGAAAGAGAAGGCCCCACCATCACAGCAGTTACCATCCATGGACCCGAAGCAGCTGAAGCAGATCAGAAAGGCAGAGAAGGCAGAGAGGGAGTTCCGGAAGAAGTTCAAGGTATGACCACAAAGCCAAGTTGAGAGTCCTGGGAGGGCTGGGACCAGAATGGGAGGTAGCTGCAGTACCACCTCTCTCTTCCCCCCCAGTTTGAAGGTGAGATCGTGATTCACACAAGGATGATGATCGACCCCAATGCTAAGACCAGGCGCGGGGGTGGCAAGCACCTGGGGATCCGGCGTGGAGAGATCCTGGAGGTGATTGAGTTTACCAACAAGGAAGAGATGCTGTGCCGGGACCCCAAGGGCAAGTGTGAGTGGACCAGGTGCCCCAGAGAGGGAGGAACATGAAGAACACCCCAGGCCACAAATCACTGACTCACATGCTCTCCCTCTTCAGATGGCTATGTGCCCAGGACCGCACTGCTGCCCCTGTGAGTATTGCTATGCCTGATGGTGATTGGGGAAAAGGAGGGTTGGGGGGACAGAGGGATGGGCCAACAGGGCCCCCACCGACCCAACTGTGCTCTCTCAGGGAAACGGAGGTGTATGACGATGTTGGCTTCTGGGGTATGTAGACTCCTGGCTGGTGGGAGGGGACTGTGGTGACTTCCAAGGGGCTGAAGGGCTGTCCACTGCTATGCCTCTGGAGAGAAGGGTAACTGGAAGTCATCCTTCCTTGCAGATCCTCTGGACAACCAACCATTTCCCAGGGCACAATAGGCCACAGGTGGGTCCCAGGACCACCTACCCAGCCACCTACTAACACAGGAGCCCTGGGTCCCCCAGCTTGGCAGAGGTGGCTGCTCAGGTGCCCAGCGATCACATAAAACTCCTCCTTAAAGCAATCCTTGCTTCCTGTCTTTCCTCTCCTGTTTAAGACTAGTACTCCCCGAGGAGCAGACCCCTGTGAAGCAGAGAGGGGTATGGGAGGGGAAGAGGTTGTCTCCTCTCAGCCCTGAAGGTGAGGAGGAAGCCAGCAGCCAGAGCAGGTGACAGCACATGCTCAACTCCAGGACAAGTGGTAGCCCCCTCAGCAGATGTCTCTGAGAGCCATCGGGGACAGGTGGAGTTCCAGATGCCCAGGGCCATGGTATCAAGTTCACCCCAATCTCTGATGGAAACTGCCACTGCTCAGCAGAAAAGAGCAGACTGGCCACAGAGAACATCATGAGACAGGTGGCTTTCAGGGCTGTCCTAGGCAGTCAAAGACCCCCTAGAAGGAGGCTTACACAGGAGTTTTCCTAACCCAGACATGACCCTGGTCCCTCCCAGGCACAGTCCACACAAACCCAGAAAGAAAAAGATAACTCAAGGGCCCAGCCCTCCAAACGTCAGATGGCTGCCTCAACACACACACAAGGCCACTTGCTCTCAGGAACTGGTATTTATTATCAAAGTCATATTCGATGTCAAGATGCCACAACTACAAAAACAATTGTGCACATTGCAATCTCAATGCAAACAGTCAAATGGAACCCCAGTCATTAAAAAAGTAATTCAAATTACCCCAAAAAGCAACTGAATTTTTTAAACATCTTTATACATCCAGCCAACAAATTAAAATGGTTAACAAGAAAAAATACAAATTCGGAGGTCTGGTATTGATGTTTAAAAAAGGCAACCGCTTAAGCATTTCTATCAATTCGAACATCTATCTCCCGGCCACTCAGCTTCATGCCGTTCATCATCCGGCAGGCTCTTTCGGCTACCTCTGGCGACTCAAACTTAACCACACCGCACCCCTTGGACTTCCCATTCTCCATCTTGATGTCAGCATACAGCACGTGGCCTAGCACAGGGAAGGAAGAAGAGACCACACGCGTCAGACAAACCAGAGCCCAGCCTGAGAATGGGCTCCTTTTCACCTGATGGATTTTAGTGATAAAGAGTCAAAAGGGGAGGCCATGCATGTGAAGCATGAACGTTCACACAACCTCAGCCAGAGCCAGTGACCATGGCCCCTCAGCCACGCTGCCATTGTTCTGTGGGCAGAATGAGAGTCTTGCCTGCCATCAATAGATAGGCCTTTCTGGGCACTTCAAAAACTCCCTTTATGCTCTAGGAAGTACCAGCGACCCAGGGCTATGTGAGTTCTTCAGAGGCTCCATCTCTGACTCAACTGCCCCTCTGTGCTGCCCCAACAAGCCCAAGGAGCTGTTCCACACTCATTAGAAGCCAGGGACAGGACAATGGAGTCAAGGGCAGGGGACCCCAGCCCTCTAGAGCCACCACCTCCACCAGGAGACCTCCCCCCAAGGGTGTCTCATGGTCAAGTTCCCAAAGAATTTTGGTAGAAACTCAGCAGGACTTCTGCCAGGAATGCTGGCGCTTTGTAGCTCAGGCTGAAAGACAAGAGGAGCTTAAGAGGGTGGCTGGACAAGTTCCCCAAGGCCTGTGGTGTGTGCACACCTTCTGGGTGGGTGGGGGGAGTGGCATGGTCACACAGTGTGATGGGGAAACTATAGTGGAAGAGAGGGGAAGAGATGAGCAGGAAAGCAGTTCTGACAACAGCTTCCCCCAGCCAAGGCCAAGGAGAAGCAGCAAGTGGTGAAACCTGAGCTAAGCCCTATGAACACGAAGTGAGAAGACGGCCCAGGGCAGACACAGCTGAGAAGGGCAGCAGTGATGCAAGTTGGGCTCACACCCGAGGGTGAAGAAGATTTAAGCTTAATTTCAGCCACAAAAGAAGCCTTCCAGAAAGGTGGTCTGGTATGCCAAGAAATGGTCATCAGAGACCCTCAGCCACACTAGCAGCTCTATGGGAGAAAGCAACCTGGTCTCACATGAGATGCTTATCTGTAAAACCATGTGACCCCAGGAAGGCTGCTTTGTGTGACTCATCTATAGGAGATTGCACTACCTCCTTTCAAAAACCCTAAAAGGTTTAGTATAGTGATAATCAGCTGTAATCCCATTATTCAGGAGGCTGAATTTGAGCACTGAGAGTTCAAGCCCACCCTAGGTGACTTGGCAAGATCTTTCTCAAAGGGAAGGGAAGGGAAGGAACACAGGTGCATGTCACCTAACACATCCTGGGACACAGAACAATGATGAGGCCCAGTGCCATAGCTGATGGACTAGGCTGGGGCGACTAGGAGGGTCTGCTGTGGACCCAAGCATCACCAACAAGCCACAACACAGGAAAACGCCTATAGACCCTTTCTCACACTTACCACATTCGTTGAATTTGTCCTTTAGCATCTTCCAAGTAAAATCAAATGGGAGCTGAGGGGAAAAAGAGGTACACTAATGTGCAATTCAACCAAGTCTAAAGTAAAAATATCCCAACCATCTATGAGGATGACTTGTTCAACCCATTTCTTTGGGGGTGGCACCAAGGGCAGAGTGCTCCCCTAGTGCACACCATCTCTAGCAGTTCCCATGAGCACATCTCACCATGCAGCCCCTGTATATACACATGGCAAGAATGTCTCACTGTATCTGGAATGAGGTTCTGGCAGAGCCAGTTCCCTGTCCTTGGCAAATGGAAAGCCAGAGAGCAGAGTTCACAGGCGTAAGGGAGGTGGGGGGGAGGGGAGAAGGGGAGATTGACCACAGTTTCCACTGGCCAAGGTACTACATGTAAGGCTTCCCTTCTCTGTCTGAATCACAAGGTTTGAGAAAGCAGTGTCTTCCACCCCCTGCTTGATCCCCTGGCATGTCAGGACCATTGTTCCTGCCTTCAATCCTCACATTCCAGCCTCCCTCCACCCCCGTCCCAGGTCAGAGACAAACAAGACTTGCTCTCCATGATGCCCAGGTCCCTGCTGCCTACCAGTGTTTGGTCCACTGACCCTCTCCTATGCCTAACCATGTGAGGACTTCTTAGAGTCACTTACATTTCTTACGAATATCTGGCAGGCCTTTCTGGCCACCCCAGGAGCATGGCCTCCGGCTCCACCAAAGGAACCTGCGAAGCTTCCTCCAAAGTTTCCACGCTCCATCTCAATGGCGCGATCGAAGCTGGCACCTCCACCGCCTCCCATGGCCAGGCCCATTCGCTCAATGCCAGCACCTAAGGCTGGTCCCATGGCAGGGCCCATCCGCTCGAGACTGTTGGCGCCCATGCGCTCCAGGCCCATCCGCTCAAGACTGTTGGCACCCATGCGCTCGAGGCCCATGCGCTCCAGGTTGTTGGCGCCCATGCGCTCCAGGCCAGTGGCCATGCGATCCATCACGGGGCCCATGCGCTCCAGGCCGGCCCCCATGCCTGCGGGCACCATGCGCTCCATGCTCAGGCCCATGCGTTCGATGGCAGGGCCCATACGCTCCACACCAGAGCCCATGCGCTCAATGGTCTGGCCCACGCGGTCGATGGGCGCAGCCATGCGCTCCAGGCCAAAGCCCATGCCGGCACCCATGCGCTCCACTCCAGAGCCAATGCGCTCCATGGTCTGGCCCATACGCTCGATGCTGGAGGCCATGTGGTCGAGACCCAGGGGGCCCATGCGCTCAATGCCAGAGCCCATGCGCTCCACAGAGCCCATGCGGTCCATGACTAGGCCCATGCGCTCCATCTCGGAGCCAACTCGATCCATGCCGTGGCCCAGGCCGGCGCCCATGCGCTCCATGCCGGCCCCCCCAATGCGGTCAATGCCAGGGCCCATCCTTTCGATCCCGGGGACGCTGCCACCTCCTCCACCTGAAATAGGGATACAGAACACGAGGGTATCAGGACACATGTGCCACAGCTGGGTACTGCAGTTCAACCACAGACCATCAACATGCAGATACTCTCAAATGCTAAAACTGGGAAATTAGTTCACAGGGGTGCTAACCAACATTCTTCCTACTGCATGACACACATGAAATTTCCACAGCACAATCTAAAAACCTAAGAACACACCTGCATGGTGTTTCTGGGGTGCTGGATCTGTGGCAAACTCTGTGGGCCACACACTGTACTCCCGTGCAGCTTCCCTTCACCACACATAGAGTAATGCTGAGGACACAATTACTTGATGCAAGCAGGGGCAGTAGTTATGTGGGGACTAAAACTCACGGTCACTCACCACACCCCAGTTCTCTTCCAACCTGACCCTAAAAAGCCCTGTGGGTCCAGCCTGCATTTCCTTAGCTCTCCCCGGACACAGAGAAGCAATGACATAGCCATGTGAATAAGCAAAAACAAATGGAACAAAGAGAACGCCCATTTGGCTCCTGTGGGGACAAATGTGTGCAACTGTCCACTTCCAGGGAACTTACACTATCAGAGAAATTGCTAGCTGAATGTTACTTCACTGGTAGTGGAGGGAAGAGGCTGACACACTGTGGGGAGGACCTGCCAGAGGCACAGGTAGGTCAGCAGTACTGGATGGGCGTGTCTGGCCTAGCACCAAAGCCAATGCCATGGCCCAGCACTTCCCCAATTCAGAGCTCAAGGTCCAGGCAGCGCCAGCTCTACTAACCCATGCAGTTCAGACCCACATGCAAAGGCAGGAAGAGGACACCCAGAAACTTCTGTAACTGGTTGTAACTGACCAAGGCTGCAACCTGGCACAGTCACCCCACCTCCCTCTCTCCAGGCCAGTTTCCTTAGCTGAAAAGCAGTATACCACATGGCCAAACGAAGCCTAATGTGAAGAATGGTAAGAATCTGAGCAGAATGGGCCCAAAACTAACTTCTTCACTTCATTAGAGAAAAAGGAGCTTGCCCAAGAGCAGCAGGAAGGAGGGCAGCACCGAATGCCCGTAGCAGAGGACCAGGAAGAAAGTGCCCACCAGAGCTCTGCAAGCAGTCCCCACAGATGTGCCCCGGCTACAGAGGACATTCTAAATGCCCATTAAACTGCACCCCAGGAGGGCA